ATATTAAACGTGCCACAGATCTTCTGAAATCTTCTCACAATGTCTTCAAGCTATGTATTTTTCTTCAGCTTTGTGAATTATCTCCTTGAGTCTCAACTTCAAGTGAAAATTCTTCTTGTTCATATTGAGTCTGCACACATAATGTGCCAAGCAGTGAGGTGCTCAGGAAAGCTTGTACATGCACCACTAGTGCAGAGTCTTCAAATTACATAGAAAGGAGTCTGAAGACGCTAGCCCTCTTTTTCTGAGGTCTACAGAGATAAAGTCACCTACGTGCAAGGGCTCTTCCTATTGCCCTTTTCCCTTGGCCCATCTACCTCTGGCTGTCAGAGCTCTCAGGCAATAATCAGAGTCTCCAGTTACTTCACTCTGCAACCCAAACACCCAGCTATCGATAAGACCTTTAACCTTTGGATTCAGAGCCTGAGGTGGTTATGCACTAATAGTAGGTCTTTAAAGAAGGTAAACTATAGGTAGGCTAATCCCCGCCCACACTTGATGGGTGAGCTGCAGCCTGAGAGCTCTGTTATATCAACATCACCCCTCCATGTTACCCAAAGGAGGAATATCTGGCCAAAGAAATCCAGAGCATGCTCCCCTCTTGCTATAGATTTGTTCTGTGCTCATTTTTTTTTTCTGTGTCATCATGAAAATCAATCATGCAGGCTGTCTTACAGAGACAGAACACTAGGGCAGCTGGACATTTAATCTGACGCAGGATGGCATATATTTGCTCTTTCTTCTTGTTTAAACTGCACTGCATTGCTTGTGATGAATAGCTCTAATGGCCCATTTTCAAATCTGCAGATCAACTATACTGCTGGCTTTTGGTGTTCTAGGAAGGTAGGATATGGATTATTAAAGCTTTAGAAAGTTAAAGAGGAGATTAAGTGTAGCCCACATTGAAAGTATAATAGAGAAAGAAGAAATAGCAACAGAAAAAAGGTAATTTATTGAAAAAAAAAGTTTATGTTTAGGTTTTTTTTGTTTTTTTTTTTTTTCATTTTGTGATGGGGGAGGGCTTTAAAAGAATGCACCTTAAGATTATAACTTTTACTTCTTATTGGCAGCAAGTCTAGAAACTCTCATGAAAGCTCTGTGACCTGAACTGTGCAAAATAACTGTTACTAAAAGTCCTCTCAGTTCTCAATCATTTTAAAATCTTTTTCTTGTGACTGAACCTTTGTGTTACTCGATATGTCACACCTGACTTGCATTTCCTTTTGCTGTGGTCTGTATATTAATGCTGAAACTGCAAGCAGAGGGAATATAGGGAGAGATGAATGTGAACCGCCAGGATTTTATGCTTTGAAATGACCCTCCCAAGAGTTTTAAGTGAAAACACATGTAGATCTTTCAAAAATGTAAATAAATCCTTCACAATTGTTCTAGAATTCTTACCCTTTTTGTTCAGCTTTGTTTCTAGCCAAGAAACTGTCTACATTCTTAGTCTAAACATATTCCTCTTGTCTTTACTTTTTCATAATTAAACACACTTTCCATAGTGTGTAATCCAACTGGGGCAGGCCTACATGACTGCCTTTCCATCTTGCTATAAATCAGAGCCTCTCTGCAGAAAGAGACAAAATCTGTGAGTCTACCCAAGCAAAACATGAAATGAAACAATACCCAAAACAGATTTAAATATCTCCACAGTTTGCCTAGTCCTTCTTAGGCTCCACAGCACCTGGCAGTAACAATAAACAAGGATAGGCACTGTGGTTCTGCATGTGTCTGGAGAAGTGCGTTTGTTTGAAGATCCTGAGTGGCCCCACGGTTTTCATACACAGCTCTCTATACTTAGACACAGGTGGTAATGCTTAAATATCTCCCCAAAGAGGAAAGTGATCTTCATATATAAATTCAGCACTTTCTATGTGATATCAGCAATGATTTGGCTTTCTTTTACCTTTTATTGGCAGCCTGCACATGTCAGAATTTCATAGTAGTCTGTGACAGAGACATCCAAATTACCAAGACATTTCCTGTAATTCAGAAACAGAAGAAAAATGATCCTCCCAGGCTGAGGTTAAGGGGCAGTAGGATGAGATGTGTCCATTTGTCTACTGGAAAGAGCTGGCTATGCTCATTGACCGCTGCTGTATTTGAATCTGAATAGAGTGCTGGATAAGGTTTGAAAAAATTGTACAGCAGAGATTCTTAAAATTTGCCAGTTGCCAAAGATAACTGGGCTTTGCAGTTAGATAACTTCAGTATTTGTAATATTTGAAGCACTTCCTGTAGTAAGCACAGAAAAGTACACATGAATTCTAAAAATGCTGAGATAGCTGTATCTGCTTATCTTAGGTAAAAAGGAGAAACATTTAAAGGCCACTCATTGCTCTTTGTGCTTCTCTACTTCTGTTCAACTAAAGACAGAAATATGAAAATAGAGATTGGCATTGAAAACAGAAAGGGAGGTTTGTGGCATTTCAGGTTTAGTTGAAAGTAGATCACTTCTTTCATAAAATTTCTCAGAGAAATTTCAGAGGTGAGTATTCATATTCATTTCGGAAGTCTCACTGGTTCAAAGAGGACTCTTGGATTTATTTATCTTCAGTTGAACAGATTCTTAGTTTTGTATTTAGACTGTTTGGTAGTTAGCTCACTTTCTTTTAAACTTAATTTCTTTGCTAACATAAAGAAATGGTCTTGTGAGACAATGTGCAGGAAGAGGTTTGGGACTCATTCCCTGTGGATACTCACTTCAGATGTCCCTTCTTCGCTATCACTAGATGTTTCCCCAGGAAAAGTAAGGCCATTAAATGCTCAGACCAGAGGCTGCTAAGAAAACAACGGGTATGCTTTCAGGAGCACAGTATGAGAGGCTTTCTCAGGAACTGGAGTGATTTAGGAGGGGCAGATTCAGACCTATCCGAAGAATGTTACTTCATCTCTTTTACTTCCTGAGCAGAACCACAACAGCAGATCTTCATATACATGGGTTGCTCAAAAAGTAATGTCTCCTATTTATTTCCATGGAGGCTACAGTAGACAAAGAGCACAAAAATACTCTTTGATAGAGCAAATTCTCAGCTACAAAACATTATTTTTCAACATATTCACCACCATTAGCTGTACATTTTCACTAGCAATGAACAAGAGCCTGCATGCCACACTCAAAATCTGCATGGCTGTCTGGAATGTGGCTTGTCTTCCGCATTGCTGTCACCACTGATGAAATGTATCACCATTGCTCATATCCACCGTTGGGTCTCCAATAGTGTTCAGCAAGTGTCGATGAATGTCAGCGGGTGACTTTTTTCTCACATGGAGGAATTCAGTTCCACATTTTAGCTTCATCAGCTAAGATATCAGATGTCATTCTGTCAGACTGCCCCTCTGCTGCCATCTCTTGCATGGCAAAAATATGTAAGGGAATAGTGGTGGAAAGGTTCAGTCTCTTCTGCCATTCCATCAACATCTGCTTCTGATGTTGTGAGCCAAGATAATAAAATGATAGGCATTACTTTTGGAGCAGCCTTCTTATATTTGCTGCATGCTTCATAAGAGACTGCTGATCCCTGCTACATCTCTGAAGTACCCTGTGACCCCAGTTACAATCACTGAAGCATGTAAAACTTACACCACTGGCCTTTTGAGATTGTTTTATTATTCATTTCTTTTATCACTTTAACAGCTTGCACTGTCTTATCATATTTCCTTGCTTTGATTCTAGCGTTTACACATTTTGACACGTTTTGACATCATGTGATAGATGTGAGACAGAAGACCTTTTGAGATCCCCAGGTCATCTTACAAACAAGCAGAGCAGTTTCCACACCTGACTGTGCGAGCTAGGTGAGCACGTAGGGGGCTTTTGCTTAGATCACAGTGCTGATTTAGTTTCCTTCCAACAGCAACAATTAAACTGAGCACAGTCTCCAACATGGGAAGTCCCCAGAATACTAAATGACAGGAACGGTATGCTAATGCCAAAGTAAGGAATGCTTTGTCTTGCTCTGCTTCCTGTGGTGTTTGATTAGGTGGGCCTATCATCAACAAGGATGTAGGGCAGGAGCCAGTTTGCCATTCCTATAACCACTAATCAAAACTACATGGCCCAAGTGATTTGCTCTACCAGAATAGTACTTTTGGCCTCTGCAACTCTAGTCTTACCAGTATAGGAAGAAAGAGAGTGAAAAGTCAGGACCCACGATCAATATTTAACTTGGTTTTCTGAGTGAAAATAGCAGTAAGGAAAAACACAGCTAATGAGAGGGTGGAGAACAAACAGAAATTGAGAACCAAGGGACATGAATAGAATATTGTCTAGTCCATCTTTCTCTTGGCTGGTGTTGGGTGTTCCTGGTTTCATTCTGATATACAATCAGAAAATTTACCACCTCCAGTTCCATGGTTTTCCATACTGTGCCCTGATCCCACAGAGGCTGAGCTGCTTCAGGACAGATCATGGCTCTCAGTGTACTGCTGGTGGGGACTACAGGTGGCTCCTCAGAGGAAAGCAGTGTCACAAAACCATTCTTATGAACATAGTCTTTAAGCTAGTACTATAAAGCCTTTAAAGAAAGACATGTGAAGTCGACATTCCAGAAACTGGTTGATGATGTTGATGGGCATTACTTGCCTTCCAGACCAGGAGGAAATGTAGAAAGGATTTAAAAAAACTGAAAGAAAAAAAAAATCAGAGAAATATAGCAGAAGAATATGAGGAGAAAACCAAAGAGAAAAACAAACAAAAAGAATAGACAGGTTCTGAGATCTATGGAGGTCCATAAAAAAAGAGAATAAGCTTCTAGATGTGATCTTGTTGAAAATGTAAACTATAATTCTATTTTATTGATAAGGGAAACTAATCCATCTCAAACATTTTTTTTAAAACTCTTTCATATCGGAAAAATGGCCTATAAATTCCAAAGGAATGACACAAGTTTTCCCTCCTTTTTGCTTCACTCACTAGCCATAGCTTTCTTTATGCTTTCATTTACCTAAAACTTGGCTTTTCAAACCTAATTCACTGGATTAACCTTGTCATTCAGCTAGCAAGGTTTAACTCAAAGATAAGCTTCAGAAAGAGATTTCAGTGAAAAATAAGTCTTCTACCTCCTGAGCCTCCCCCAGCTTGGACTTAGCCATGGAGGCTCTATATCAGCTGACCTGAAGGACATACTGGCTTGGTGCCTGGATATATCTCAAGTATTTCTGAGCACTGGCCAAAGGAGGCTGACAGCAAGTAGAACATGTGGAAGACTTTTGCCCGTTCACTGGTGAGTCCTAAAACAAGAATTATAGAATCATCATTGAATCATAGAATTGTTTGAGTTAGAAGGAACCCTTAAAGATCATCTAGACCAAATCCCCTGAAATGATTAGGGACACCGACAGCTAGATCAGGTTTCTCAGAGACCCATCGAGCCTCACCTTCAATGTCACTAGGGGCTATAGTCATGTCACTATGACTAGGGTCATCCACCACCTCTCTTGGCAACCCGGTCCAGTGCCTCAGCATCCTCATTGTAAAAGACTTTTTCCTTATATTCAACCAAATCTACCCTCTTTAAGCTTGAAACCATTTCGCCTTATCCAATCACAACAGACTCTGCTAAAGTGTCTGTCATCTTCTTTTTTATGTCCCTCTCCATTAGATAGTGAAAGGCTGCTATCAAGTCTCCCCAGAGCCTTCTCTTCCCCAGGTTGAACAGCCCCAGCTTTTCATCCTGTCCTTGTGAGGGAGGTGTTCCATCCCTTGGATCATTTTTGTGACCCTCCTCTGGATGCACTTCAACAGGTCCATGTCTTTCCTGTACTGAGGACTCCACATCTGGACACCACTACTCAAGGTCCAGCAAACATCAGTACTGAGCATCTTCAGATCAAAGAGGAAGGTAAATAGATTTTTGTTATGTCTGAGAACTGCCAAGGTAGCAATAACAGAGATTAAACATCAGAAATTTTCTGCCCTGTAAAATCTTACTGATATCAGGCTTATTTGCCCAATCAAAAGGCCTTTCTGTGGAAACCCTTGTGTTGATTAGTGACTGTGAGCTAATTTGTGCTTTACTTGTTTAGAAACATGGAAGACTTTTCACATGGTGAACTGCAGGGCTTTTACCTCGATCTGTTGTGAATTTTGAGTGCTTGACAACCCAAAGCCATGGTACAAACCAAAGGAAAATAGAATATTTTCTAATATTCTACTAAAGAAGTAGCTCTCACAAAGATCAGCAACAGGAACATATCATTATAGTGCAAATGAAATGCTTTTTTCAGCATGGAAATTTTGTTTGGGCATCCTTGAGTAACAATATTGTATAGTCATGACACAGTATTTTACAGATGCTAGTCTCAGAGAACTGGTTCTATTGGTTTCTACTCCAGGTGCAGATGGTCTGATTAAGATGGTGCCGGTTTGAAATCACCAAATTTTGGAATGGCGAGGAGCAGCAAGGACCTGCAGTTCCATCCAAGTTTGGAATTCAGAAATACTGAATGACACTTTTCCTTCCTCACACTCTCTCCTTTCCTCAATCGATCACAGGATTGACTTAACACCATGAAAGCAGACAATTTAATTTTATAGTCTTTTTTATATGTCTTCTGGTTCTGGAGCATTTAGGACTTTCATTTCCAGGCACTGTGGGCTACAAATGTACTCCTTTAAAAATAAAGTGAGGTTTTCAGGCAATAATCTCCATGCAGCTGCCATTGCTTTAAAAAAAAAAAAAAAAAAAAAAAGTTCAGACTAAAACTGCAGTGCCTGTGACTGCCCATAAACCCTCTGTCTCCACTGGGCCTTATACAAAAGTGGTCCAGTATGGCTGAATCCCAAGACATTCCTGAATTTTAAGTGATAATATGACAAAGATATAATGTAATGGACTTCTGCCTGGTTCAAAAAAATCTTGCATGAGCAGATACCTAGATAAAGAAGTCTGTGTCTAAAAACAACAGGAAAAGGCAGTGACTCCTGTATGTTAGCTGCTGATTGGCTCCTTTCCAGGCTCACTAACTTCACTGGTGAAGAACAGAACAATAATGGGAAATATTTAAGATTTTAATTTCTGCCGAAACCTGACCATGTCGGAGATATTCCAATTTTTTTCCGTGATATATTCCTTTTATGTGAGAGAGAAAGCTCTAGTTAGTGTTGGAATCTTTGCAAGATGAGTGTTCACTGGTGAGCAATTCATATTTGCAATATCTTCATAATATAAAAATACCATTAAAAATATACCTCCTTAAAAAGAGCAATCGCCAAATCTTCCACATTGCCTTTGGGCCCAGCAGCTTTATTTAGTTTTTGTAAATGTTATTTAGCATTTGGCCTGTGCTGCTGCTACAATTCTATTTGGCTGTCACGGTCACTTTAGGCGATGCTAGCTCGAGTTTCCCCACTGCAGTTACTCTCTTGAAGATATAAGTCAGCCTACACTGCAAGGGAGAACAGAGCAGACAGACAGCCTATTGCAAATTAAGAATTAGCCCCAATACAGAAGCCAAGAAAAAGCTCCTAAAAGAAACATTTCCTAATGCCATCTGCAAAATAGTAGTAGCGCAAAGGCATTCTTGCCTTCCACAGTGGGGGAAAACCAAATCTTTGTTGTGTATAGAACCACTCTAGCCTATACAGCACTTTCTTTTAACTCTGAGCAGGTAAAACAGCATTTCAGGCTACATATGGATGCAAGAGTCTACTTCTAGTAAAGGTGTTAATAGCAGCAGCATCTAGCTGTAGGAAACAGAAAGTCAGTGGGCAGCAAAATGCTGACTGATTGATTGTTCTGCTTTTAGGCTATCATTTGTAAAATGATCATCCTTGGTCAAAATTTTTCATCATCAAGATCTTGCTAACAAGGCCCAGAACCTAGTGGCCAGCTAGCTTTCATTGGTACTTCCCAATGGTACTTTGCAGTGCCTCCCAGTGACAATCAGTGAAAGGGTAGTGGGGAAAGAGACTTTTTTGGGATTGATGTAAAATTGATGTGCACTAGACATCAATATTGTTTCTCTTGATGATATGCCTAGAGTGTGTGTGTGCGTGTATCTGTATGTGTGTGTAGGAGGAATGAGACAATGATGTTACTCTGTCACTCTGTCATGTACGCTTGGATTGCATGAGAGATGCAAAGCATTAGTGGAAATGTTCAGCATCTTTTTTCTTGATTTGTAAGAAAAAGGCACAGTAGGGGAAGAGTGGGAACAAGTTCAGATAGGAAAATCCCTTTAATATCTTCATGCTTAATTTTGCTTTTGCATGTTGTTTTATTCCAAATGAGAGTGAAATCAAGCTGGCTGGAGAAAAGGGCAAACTGCAGCAGGAAAAAAAAAAAATAAATAAAAATCACAGAATCACAGAATGGTTAAGGCAGGAAAGGATTTCTGGGTCCTTCTGCTCCAATGCCAGCTCACACCAGGTCACCCAGAGAATAGTGCCCAGGTCTATGTCCACGGTCTTTTGAAGTCCCCTCAGGAGGAGACTCCACAACCTTTTTGGGCTGTCTGTGTTAGTGCTCAGTCACCCACAGAAGTGTACAGTACACAAGTGCTTCCTGATGTTCAAAGGGAGCTGCCCATGTTCCTATTTGTGCCCACTGCCTCTTGTCCTGGCACTGGGCACCACTGAAAAGAGTGTCCCCATGCTCTTTGCACCCTCCCTGGCATACATCAATAAGATGAGATTACCTCTGATCTTCCACTTCTCCAGGCTAAGCAAAACCAGTTTTCTCATAATAACCTCACAGGAAAGATGCTCCAAGCCCTTCATTATCTTTATTGCCCTTTGCTGGACTTTTTCTAGCAACCTCATCTCGGGAGCCCAGAACTTGACCCAGTGCTGCAGTTGAGGCCTTACCAGTGCTGAGTAGAGAGGAAGGATCACCTCTTTCCACCTGCTGGCAGCAGTCCTAGCGCAGCCCAGGACACTGTCAGCCTCCTCTGTTGCTATGGCTCATTGCTGTCTCATGTCCAACTTAGTGTCCACCGCCAGGTCCGTTTCTGCAATGCTAGAAACAGTTTGTCATTGTAGAAACGTCAGCCTGTGCTCAAAAGTGGGATTTCTGTGAGCAATAAATCTTTGAAATGTAAAGACAGAACCAACATTCTTTGCAGAGGGGTATTTAACCATAAGCTCTTCTCAGTTCTGTCTTTGTTTTGGTTTTCCAGTATAACCACTGGGGTGAAATGCATAGTGCAGTCGCTACACAGGCTCTCAGAGGCTGGCGTTTAGCTTTGATGCTGAGTCTTGCCTGGTTTTCTTCAGAACTACTGAACTGATAAAGAGAGGCTGAAAGGTCTTGCTGCCTATTCCAAGAGCATACACATGTGCGAGTGTGAGCATGTATTTTATGGCCAGCAATTTTCTGCAGCATCTCTTGTTTACTTTGGTGATGGGCAGTAGGCCAGGAAGACTGTCTGCCTCCAGTCTAAATGAGCTTATAACTTTATGGAACATTTTTCACTGACATTTTGGGGATGAGGGAAGTAGACCGACTATCTGCACAACTTTAGAAATGTCCAGAGAAGTGAAGACTCTGGCAGCTCTGAGTGCCTGAATTTTACTGTGTCATGTAACATATATGCAGGATTGACTATTCTTGACTATTCTCATTTTACTGCATTAAAGCAGTGTGACCAAGTTACCAGAATAGTTTCAGAACATTTGTGTGTTCCTTTGAAAAGAGCCTGAAGCTATCCTATGGCCTATTGCACCAATTCCCTAAATGTATGTTTTAATTTATGATGTTGGTCACAGGCCGTTACAACAGGACTAGTAGACTGCATCACTAAATTAAACAGTTATCCACCAGACAAACTGATGAGAAAAGGGCACAGAAAAGTACATATGAATCCAGCTGTCTACCTCTGCTATTTCTTCCATTACAGGTAGGTCTCCTCTACAGCAATTTTATTTCAACAAGGAATGCACTTCATCTTGAGTCTACACCTACCTCATTCACAATTATTTAAGCCTATCCAGAATGAATTCCTTTATCTTCTCATCTAATAAAGATGTATTTAAAAAAATGCTTTTAAAGTGATGTTAAAGGCCTGATTGAAGAAAAAAAAAAAAAAAAAAAAAAAAAAAAAAAAAGTGGAATCTGAAGGCGGTGAGATAAGTTTGTCCTTATTTTACCCAGAAAGTTGTACAGATCATTTATGGTATCAACTACTGCTGGATAATGTCCTGCAATAAAAGAGAACACAAGATTCATTGGGTAGTGGCAATAGATTGATTTAAT